ATTGTAACGTCTACTGCCATTGTTAACGACCAAGACAAATTTCTCCCTGCGAGATGAATAAAGATTGTCATTGTCATTGTCAATGATATGTTACACTCCTCTTTAGCCCACGCTCAACTCCTGGCCAGCGACTGGGTGCCAAGAAAGAGGAAAGCGTCCGCTCTGAGCCAACAGTCAACTTCATCCCCTTCCCCTTTGACCTACAGTCCATCTTGCCCCGAAGCCAACAGGCCGAGCTTCTATTCTCCACTTTCCTCATCAGAGATGGTAGGTACCGTTGCATCCTGTAGTGTTTTTGACAAAAATGTAGCTGAGCCCCATCCTGTAGTGTTTTTGACAAAAATGTAACTGAGCCCCATCCTGTAGTGTTTTTGACAAAAATGTAGCTGAGCCCCATCCTGTAGTGTTTTTGACAAAAATGTAACTGAGCCCCATCCTGTAGTGTTTTTGAAAAAAATGTAACTGAGCCCCATCCTGTAGTGTTTTTGACAAAAATGTAACTGAGCCCCATCCTGTAGTGTTTTTGACCAAAATGTAACTGAGCCCCATCCTGTAGTGTTTTTGACAAAAATGTAACTGAGCCCCATCCTGTAGTGTTTTTGACAAAAATGTAACTGAGCCCCATCCTGTAGTGTTTTTGACAAAAATGTAACTGAGCCCCATCCTGTAGTGTTTTTGACAAAAATGTAACTGAGCCCGTCTTTTGTTCTTCTGCTTTATACACTTCAGGAATGTATTAATGGACTTTGACCATTCTTTTTCAACCCACAAACAGCAGTTTTTTTATGTCCCTGGCTAAGTTTTCTGCTTTGGCATAGTGGTTCTGGACTTTCAGAGACTCGTGTGTGCCAAATTTGATGGTACTCTTAATTATTTGTTCTTTCAGAGGTTCTTTTTTTTTTTAGTTGTCCTTGTGGATTTGCTTTGAATGTGATCAGGACTTCATGGGCAGTTTGTGGGTGCTCCTTCTTTCCTATCAAACATCTATCGCCCTTATCTCTCCTTCTTTTATGTTTGCTACTCACTTGTAACCCTTTAATCTTCAGCATTTATATGACCTTATCGTGTTGCAAATGCTGTAAAACTCTTACAAAAACTAAATTGATCAGAACTTCTGACCTGGAAAAAAAGATTAGAATAGTACCTAGTAGTATTTACCAGTTGTTGTTTTTTATCTATCCACAGGAAGTCGAGTGTCCCAAGACGTGGTCCTGGACCCCAAGGAGCCCAATGAGCTGCTCCTGAGCCTGTTCTTTGACAAGCTCAAAGAGACACACTCCAACGAGATCCTCATCTCAGCCGACGACTGCTACAGGTACCGAACTCACTTTGTCAAATTGTTTGGGAAGTAAAATTATCCAAAAATATATGGGCAATTCTCCTGAAAGTTTGAGCTTTCTGTAACACGGGTATCAAATTTTAGAATTCAACCAAATAACTTGCAAATGTACTCAGTACATCTTTGACATGTCTAGTTTTGATCCCTACACGGCTGAAGCTAAAGCTTGCTTGGTTTCTTTGGAAACGGAAGTGAAGTTTAGACTAGTGCGCTATGGTCTTAAACGTTAAAGGACACTCAGTAAGGATGAAGAATTCCAATATGTCTTTTTGCAGCTGTTTTGATCATGATAAAGAGTTTTCTGACGTACATCTTCCAACGTTTGCTTTCGAGCTGCTTTGACTTTTGGAAAGACTTTCATAACTCTGTGGACAGCTTGTTTGCATGATGAGGGTGTCTGTTTGACACTTTCTCGAATATATTGAACCTCTTTTTTCGTTTTCTCTGTGTCTTCACCTTTTTCCTTTTTTTTCTTTTTTAAGGGAACCTATCTCTAGCCTAAGCATTGTCTGCCCTTTATTTCTGCCCTGACCAGGATGTTGTTATCTCTCTTGCGTAGCTTTTCTATTTCTTTCTTTAGTATCACTAGCCCAGCAAACTTACGTGTTGTGACTTTGCTAGTGGTAGTGGTAGGCAATTTGAGGCTTTCTCTTGTTTTTTCCTACATTAAAATTTCTTGACTTGTTCGTCGGTCTTTGCCTTGTGATTTGCAACCTTCTTTCCCTAGACGAACGTCTTCAGCTCTTTATGATTGCACATCGATGTCACCCTTTGTTTTCTTTAATCGGTCCTGGGATTCCTTAGTTGGCTCAGTCTTAAACTTTATTGTAATAAACTTTGTGTTTTTCTTTTTTGGAATTTCGGTACTTGAAAGCAATGCATTCAGAGGTCTCTAGCGCAGAGCACGCACCTATTGTACTGTAAAGTTAGAAAGAGAATGTGGGAGCGGGAGGGGTGAATGAAAAATTGTACCAATCAGTTTTGTAACGGAATTGAAAGAGATTAACACGTGCTATACTTGGTCGAAAATAAGATTATGCTGCATTACTTTTTGTATTATTTTATTAAAATAATTCGCAACAGAAAAAGTAGTCACAAACTCTGTTTTAGAATGTATAAGAATAAAGTGAATATAAACCGATGTTATTCGTTACTTATATGGTTCTGCTAGTCTTATCATAGTCCAAGACGATAAAATCAGCTACTATGTACTATGCCCTAAATATTATTGGGGCAACCCTTATTACCAAGACTTTTGTCAAAATGATTTAGCCCTGTGTAACCATTACGACCAATGTAAAAACTTATTTTCCTCTTGTTGAAACCAATATTAATTTCTGGTGAAAACTAAGGGTAAAGCTACACCGTGGACAAAGCGAAGCAGCACGGTCGGGGCAATCAAAATAAAACCAAAGGGAAAGACGGACGTTACCAGCCGTACCAAGAACGGCCCGAAGCGAGGAGATGCCAGGAGAAATTCCGGCCAATGTACAATCGCTTTTATCGCTTGAAATGTACATGTGTGCACACGAGCATATTATTGACAGCTTGCTTGACACTAGTAGATCTACAAAATTTCAGTGATTATAACAAGAAGGAAAACGAGGAGAGCTTGTGAAAACTGTTTGTAAAAACAAAAATTAAAAATAAAAGCAAAACACACAATGTATTTACTTTTATTCAAAGCAAGACATTATAGAATTGACCTCTTTTCAATTAATTTGTAGACCAAGATCTGCCTATCCATCAGTTCTCCATAACACTCCCTTCTTAAGTACTTAACACTCTTTCCATTTGTCTCTCATTCTTTCTTTCTCAATCGTCGAGATGGGATGTCTTAAGTTAGTAGTCTGTTAGGTAAGTTTAACCATTAACATTTCATGCAAATAGAAAAAGGAATCACGACTCATTCAAACTGAATCTGCACATCTGCTTTGGTCATCTGGCAAATTCCTCTTCAAGAGGTGAAATTCACCAAAACTTATGACGCATTTAAGTAATCGGGTTCGCCTACTTATTTCTTTCTTTTCTCTTTAGAGTTACCACGTCGATTAGGAGAAACGGCGCCAATATTTTTCAGTTCATTTTCAACTGAAACTAAAATTGACATAGAAAATCCCACACAACGTTACATCACTTGCGTCTCCCTCTTCGCCTTGTTCACTGTGTTTACGCCTCGTCACCACCAAGCCTACAGTGTGACATTACCCAGAATAGGACATATCAATATACTTTGCATTCCATTGACGTAGTCTGTCTACAAAGATAAATTACTGATGTTCGATGTTAAATATTTGAAACACCAAGCCAAGCAGCCTTATCCTTGTATTTGCAATGTTTCAGACAACGATAACAAGTTGTCACCTTTAATTGCCCCAACTGTCATCCCCAAAGCTAGAAATATGTGGCATCAACGCATGAAATCCTTGAAATGAAATTCTTAAAGAAGCTACTCATTTTACAAAGATTATAACACAAAGACCAAGGCTAAATTGTTAAAATAAAGAAATCAAGCTCTTTGTCCAATTTCCATTTCGATACAACAAACACTATGAAAACCAACAATCCTTGTTTTGGCAGGATCCAAACTCCTTAAGGGGCTTTAAGATTTCATCAATGAATCACACATTTTGCAGTCGTATAAAAAAGAAAGCAAATTTTAAAGCAATTCAAGTCTTCATCATTACTTACGTCTTAATCGTTAACCGCTAGAAATTGCATGACGAAGTCATTCATATTCACTTTCTATAGACACCGTTGCCTTGCCGGGGAATAGATGAAAGCCTAGTTGATTGGAAACCAGTGCACTTGACATAAAAACACCGCACTAAAATTTCGAGCTACTTCCGGCAGAAGTAAACATGCAGATCTTAATCGTTAAAACGTGACAAAAATTCAAAGACGCTACTAGTTACCGCCAAAATTTCGTAATCGGTGTAGTAATTTTGTTCTTGGTTAATGAAATGACGAAAGTGATCGCATTTCTAGTTCTACAATAAACAATTACACTTTTTAAACGATCGATTGAACTCAAGATAGGGTTACTATTTTTTATCATTTTTCGGACGAGACGAATAGCGTTTAAGACCTAATTTTATGTCTTTTGTGTGAACAAATGGGCCGTATTAAGCATATATTTGTCGGTTACCCTGAAAGTTCTACTTAAGATCAGTATTTACACATAATTACGAAAATGATGAGCAGGCAGTTCTTAGAGAAATCTTCGGATGAAAACTGTCTCTGGTGAATGTTATGTTTTCATACCTAAAAAATGCTGATTTTTCAACAAAAAACTCCCACACTGTTTCAGCATATCATTTCATTGGATATTTTCTGCCTAGTCCAGGTTCGGCAACCTTTCCCCCACCGGCTTAGCTCATCTTAACAATAATTTGAAATAAAGAAAGATATTTATGGCGTTTGGAGTAAGGGGTATGCGCAAGTTCAAGTTTTCAGGAGAATTCCCCATATCACTTTGACCAATTGTCTGGAAAGTAGAATGATACAAATATGTATACCTTTGTCAAATTATTTGGAAAGTAGAAATATATAAAAATAAATTAAACACCTCTTTTGCTGTTCTGAAGTGGGGAAATTTGTTTTTTTCAATGGCGAATGAGATACGTAGCATACGTAGTGGTTCATCAATGTCATGTCATATGTAGGCCTACAATGTCACAGCATTACTAAGTAACCAATAAACATGTCATTGCTGGTCGCTACCTATACAAGCACCGTTTGTTTTTAGCCAACCCTATTCCTGTTCCTGCTCCATTGACCTCATCAACGGCTGAACGCAAGAAGTGGCTATATCCATTTTCCACAGTTTCGAGAAAAACAAGTTTGAAATTTTGACGATTTTGAAATCTCTATAATATTGTCAAAAAATGAATGTTGATATCTCGGTACCGAATTAAGATACAGCTTAGATATGTACAGAGGTAAGAGAGCGGCTTAAAGTCTCACTACTCATATCAATTACTAACATTTCGATCAAAAGTGGATATAGTCACTTCTTGTGCTCAGCCATCGTCATATGTAAAAGCCATGCCACAATCATTGCATGTCATGAATATGAGTCTGAGCTCACTGATTTCTTGGCCCCTAGAAGCCCTTAGTGGAGAAACATCTTGGTCAGTGGTTTTTGTGGTTACGCTGGATCTGTTTATGTACTTTAAACTGAATAATTGATGAAAACCATCTTCACTGCTTTTCTGTTGATGTATTCTGATTGATTTATACACTAGTATAACTGGTAGTTGTAAGTTTTGTCTCTCCTGTTAACTTTGAATTTTGCAACGTACAGTTTTGCTCTGTTCTGTATCATCAGTTATTTCTATTTCTTGACAAAGGGGATTCATCTCTTTAAAAGTAATGCTCATACCATGTGTCCTGTTTTAAAGACAACACCTAAGTAGTTGGGGGAGGGGGAAAAAACCAACCTTTAAAAAAAAAGCTTGATGACTTATTTTGCTCCCCACCATATTGTTTCTCAAAACAGGTTTCTCCAGCATGTCCTTCAGAGACCCAGAGATCTGGGCACTTGCCCTCTCCCTTTTGCCTACAGGCCCGATGCCACGTTCTCTTCTCCCACTGGCTTCTCTTTTGAGCATGGACCCGTGTCAGTGAGTACACTTTGGCTGTGCGCTAGGGATTTACAGTTTTGTACACTCAAAACATTGTATTCATTAAGAAAATTTTTTTTTTAATTACTTGTTTAACTTCTGAGTTCTACCTTCTTGTGGCAATTGTAGAAAGTTAGGCTGCTGAATTGTCTAGTTTGGAAATGTGTTTGTGCATTAGATTTTTTAAAAGTTGATGTAAGAGGATTTAAGAATTCAGTCCAAATCACCTACATTCTTTCTAACAAGGAAACTGACAATGAGACCACGGACGCCTCATCATCTACCACCAAGCGGACAGGTGACCCGAGCTCCCACAGAAAGTCTGGAGGAGAGAGCAGCTCTGGGGGGCACCACATATCGGCCCCTCGTTCAGCCGGTGGGGAACAGGACAGCGGTGGCAAGAGCCAGCAGACGACGCCTCAGAACGAATCGGCAGCCAAACACTTCCACAGCAAGTATTTCTCCACGCCGCCCCAGACTGCAGCCAACACGTCTTCGGGTCCGCCTCACAGCGACTCCACGTCCACTTACCTCAACAGCTCCGGCCAGTTTACCTCGCTTGGGGGCACCTCCTCCTCTTCCCCAGCCGGAGGTGGGGGGAAGAGGCCAAAGTTCAAGAGGTCAGAGTCGGTGCACTGCCCCATGTGGAAGTGTTACGTGAAGATGGACATTGGAGAGCACCTGCTGCTTACCTTTGTGCCGGCCAGTTTTGACGACCTGATTCTACTGAACCCTTCCCCGGCTGATGTCTCTCCAGAGGATCTGTCCACCAACGAAGGTGCAGATGGGTTTTCGGTAAGTGGAGATGTAACAGACGGTAGCTCAAAATGTGTCACAATACAAAGGAATCGGGGGCTTGTCTATTAGGGGGCATATGGAGTTATTGGTATCGTCTTAAAACTTGTTCATTTGTCTTGTTTTTGATGAAAAAAATACCAATCTATCTCGAATAAAGATCAAGATATTTGCGATTCTTTGAGGTGGGGTCTGCTTGGTACCAGAGGAAAAATTTACGAGAAAATGGCTGCCAAAATTTGGTGATTTCCAAAGCTTTAAAGTCCTTGGAATTGCAAATTAAAATGTGTTGTGTCTTTAACCATCGTTTTTCAATAAGATCTGAATGTAAAAAGTGTTTTTAAATGGACATAAAAGGTGTTGAGTCAAAAACAAATTCAATGAAAATTACCAAACACACAGAAAAATGCCAGTTTCTTCAATTTCCTTATTTTGACGAGTGCCTAATTTCGTTTAGTTTTAGTAGAGTTTTTAGGGCGCAAGCAACTGCATAAGGTTATATGAGCGCCAAGGGGTGGATGTCAACAGAGAAGTCCATACGGTGAATCATTCTTACTCTGCTCACTTCTCTAGCTTCAACAGCACAAAGTCTGCTTCGACTATCAAGGCACCCTGTAAATAGTGGGTCACAAGAGAGTGACAAACATACAAAAGAAGTAGAAGGAAAAATAGCGATAGTAAGGATAAGGAAAGAAAAGGCAGCAGTTCCCCATATGCAGTTCAGGCACAGCTATGAGCATGACTTCGATGAATCAGCCCATTTGCAATTCTAAAGATCATAAAAACATGTTAATGTCTCCCCATTTGGGAATGGCCTAAAGACACCTTAGTAGCACTACCTTGGAGGGGGGGGGGGGGTAGCCTGATTTCACTGCAGTGCCTCACAAATTATATAATAATGACACAGACTGGGGTAAACTGCCAAGAAATATACAGTTGTACATGCTCCAATGACCACATGTCCAAGACAATCGCCTGTTCAAAGGACCTCTTCCTACTTCCCCCTTTTGTTTCATCTGTATCATAATGACACTGTCCAAGAGGGCTACCTGTCGCAAAATGATCTCTTCACTCCTCAACAATGGGCCAGATCTTGGTCAGGCTCAACTATAGTTGGGGGTTAAGATACCATTTGTGAGGCATCATGGTGAAATCAGGCACTCATCAAAATAATGAAATCAAAGAAAACAGCATTTTTCTGCTGGTTTTGCATTTTTTAATGTTTTTTAGCTCTATACCTGTTATGTCTATTTTCAAACTCATTTCTGTGTGGATTTTACTGAAAACGTTGATTAAAAGCACAAAATATGTAAATTTTTCATTTCTCAAGGAGTATCAAGCTATGGAAGTTACCAAACTTTTGCTTCCATTTTCTTGAAAAATTTTCCTCTGAAACCAGGTAACCCCCACCTTCTTCAACTGGAAATATCTTGATTCTATTCAAGGTAAATCAGTATTTTGTTTCATCGAATTGAAGACTAATGAACAAGCTTTGACATGATATTATCTCTAAATGCCCAAAAATTGGCAAATGCCTGATTCCACGGTGTCTTGACACATTTGCTCAAGAATAACAAGCCTGCGTTTACCTGTATACTCCACGAGCTGGTGCCTCTGCTTGAGGTTCTGGTTGAGTAGATCAAGCAGCTGACCCAAGGGAGCTCAGGTGTTGGGGTCCTACAAGTTCATGGGACCATTGTTTATGCAAGATTTAATATTTTAATGACACAAAAAGTGTTTTACCTTGTAATTTGCTGTTTGGTTTTGATTTAGGAATTTTTGTGTGAATTGTCACTTTTTCTAAAGTGAAATAAAGTTGACTTTTTGATGTCATTTACATACAAGTCATAGTCATGCCCACTCACTCTAACCCTGCTGTCTTCTATCCCCAATTAAAATATTGTTTTTCGTTTAATTAATCTTTTTTAGTCTGTTTTTGTTGTTTCTTTTGCTTTCATTATGGACATATGATTTCTTAGAACCCCGTAAGGACACATACTCACTCTAACCTTGCACTCTCGCACGCTCATATTACCTTTTATGCAGTTTTGAACACTTAAAACACTTAGCAAACAATAACTCGCCACTGTTGTGTCTTCTTCAGTTACCGGAAAAGGTTCAGGTCCCCCCAGACAGATCAAGCCACTCCCTGGACCCAGGACAAGAAGGCAAGCACAGTTCAGGTAACTGTCATTTGTTTGTGGCATTGGTGGCCAGGTGATTAGGCTCTTAGACATGCAGCAGTGAGGTCGTCGATTTGAATCCCATCAGGGGCCCAACGTTGTATTCTTGGGAGAGGCAATTTTACTCAAATTTTCCTCAATTCACTTAGGTTGGAGTGGGTTTCCAGCTGTAGACAGTGAAAGATCTTGTCAGTTTGTTAGTGTTTGTTCACTTAATCAGCTGCCTGCTTCGTCGTAAGCTGAGAATGTTTTGGAGTGTTCTATGGTCTGTTGGGTAAAAATATAGTGTAAAGTGCATAGAACTTGCTGTCGATCAGGGATATGTGCTGTACAATACTATTTATTACTTGCTGTTATTCTGAAGTGATAAGCCCATTGCGGCTGACAATGGGGCATTCTTTTCTGATGATTTATGCTCTCTGTTGCAAGTTGCTTTCTATCTATATAAAATATATGTTCATCTGAGTTTTATGTTGTAATCATGTCAACAACCGCCAGTGTCCCTTTACCTGTGTAGATTCCTGTAAGGCGGTGCTGGATATGTACGATTTTCAATCTTTCACTCATTTTCTTTCTCTCTGTCTTACTATTCTAAGTGACCATTATCATGTCAATGAGCTTTTCTTTACTCAAACTCCAACTCAAACTTGTAGCTGACCCCTCCACTTTTTCTTTTTCTGAAATGTAATGCAATACAGTTTTTGGCAATTGCCTTTTTGTTCGGTACCCTTTCCTTTAATAATATGTTAAAAGTTTTCACTTTTAATGAGAAATGTTTTGTTTTAATCATGCAGCCCGAGATGACACGACGTCTGTCCAGAGCCAAAACCAGAGCTCCTGGTCCCACGTGCCCTCAGAGACTCACGCTGCTGACCAAGGCTTTAGAGGGTCAGCCGTAGAAGGTCGCGCCTCCATGTCGCCCAACAGGGAGATGAGGAATGAAAAAGTAAGTTACTACCTGAGCATTACAAAGTTCTATGTGACATATTTGGCTGATTTGAGTTACTAAAACTATGAGGTTAGAAACCAAATGTTCCATCTGCTTTATCAAAATCATACTATTATTCAGAGTAGTTAGACAACAATTAGAACAAACATGCAACTATTACCGAATGTCATCATGCAGAAGAGTTAACGCTCAGATGCTACTGGATCGCTAACAACAACAACAATTCAGAGTAGTTATCAAGATATTCAAAGAGGTGCATTAAAAAAAAACTTGACATTGTGAAACTCCAAATTTTTTACGTCAAATTTCTCAAAACTGGGAGCTGAGCAGAACTTTGTCATTCTAGAGTAGCGAAGTGTCCAATACAGATCATCGGGTTTTTTTTGTAAAGAAAAGAGCGGGTTTACCTTGTTCTTTCCCATGAAGAAATCAAAAGTAAATTTTTAGTAGCAACTTGACTTATGTTCTCTGCCGCTTATACTACTAGGTGACACAGGGAGCTAGAGACACAGTGGCAACAGACTGCCCAAATTCATAACATATTGCACTTATTTCACTATATTTCACTGTTATTGTTTGCCAATACTCTTAATCTGAGTCACTTTATTTGATCTGAGAGTGCAAATTTTTGCTTGAAGTCTGGTATTGATTTTTATTATTTTTTATTTAGTAGTGGACTGTGTGGTCTTGAACTCATGGTTTCTGCTGCCGTTCTTCTGCTACTCATTGGTTCCTTCTTACAGCTGTCTTTCAGCTACACCATTGATCTTAGGGTAGGTAAGACTAACACCTAGCCTCTTCTGATAAGGGCGAAAAAAAATCTCAGAAGTCCCATGTGCAAGTAGCGTGCGTCAAAGATCCCTTTTTAGTGGTCTTCAAATCAATAAGAGTAGGATTCGACCGCGCGCGGGCAAAAATTCAAAGTTAATTCCTACCAAACTGAAAATTCTTAAGAATATGTCCCGTGCGTTCTAATGATCTTATGCAGTTGTGAGTGCCATAAAACATTTACCAAAAAAAAACACGAAGAATTTATGGTTGTATGCTCAAGCCTGACAGGATGCTGTACTTTACTTTCATGTTTGATTCAGGTGCAGGAATGGGTTAACACAAGTACCCACTCCATGAAGCCCACTGTGAGTGGTCCGTTGCTCATCCCCGTCTACGTCTACAGCTGTCAGCTCAAGAACGTCACGGCATCGCTTGTAGATAGGTGAGATCCCTGTTTCTGTCGAGACACCAGGTTTTTTTCTTATTCACTGCAGTTTCAAGATAAGAAGGTGTTTTGTCATCGTAACCTTTTAGAAAAGGCGTTCTTCTGAAATTTGAATGCAAATTTTTTTTTTAAAGTCATAATTTCTGTTTGATTTTTCAACACATGTAGGGTAACTGATCAGACTGTTGATTTAGCAAATAAAAGAATTTGGCTCCAAAAATGAAAAAAAGCGTTTTGTCAGCTTAGGAGGGAGTAGAGAGCTGGTATTCGTGATCATTTTAACACTGCCCTTATAATGCAGCTAATCATAAGTTGGAATTGTCTGTTTTTGCTTTAATAGATTGTAGGTGCTTTATCTTCTTTTGGCACAGGGATGAGACAATTCTTTCAAGTTTGCTACCTTAGAATTACAAAGTTCTATCTGCTCTACCTAGTTTTGAGAAATTGGGCTCAAAATGTTTTGAGTTTCACAATTTGTCAAGCTTTTTCGAATGCAATTTTTTGAATGTCTTGTTGAAGACTAAGAATAATCTTTCAATTTTGATAGTGAAGATAGAGCATTTGAATTCTGATCTCGTGGTCTGAGTAACACAAAACGACCAAAAATGTCAGACAAAACTTTGTAATTCTGAGGTGGCTATGAAATAGAGAGGCACTGCTCCTGCATTATTTGATAAAGATAATACTATAGCCAAAAATTTTGTTTGCTCCAAGATAAGAATGTCCATCCAGCAGGTTTCTCACCTTCTTGTATCTTCTTCTTCTTTTTCTCGATCACATCACACTTGAAGTCTGATATCTGTCATAAATTGGGCCGTCCTGCTCAGTTCATCTGGCGGCCCGTATAGCTTCTCTTGTAGCGTCAGTGGGGTTGGCCACGTTTCCTGTCTCAGGGCCCCGTGTGTTTTGCAGTGCTGAAGGATGTACACCTACTTGTATTTGTTGTGCTCATATCCATCAGTGAAATCAATCAAGATTTTTGTCTTTTCAGATGGAACTTTTCCTTGCCGGAGGATATCTTTGAGGACATGTCGTTCAAGTCAGATCCGACAAGTGATGTGAAGTCCCCACGCTCACCACGGGGGCGCCTGCAATCCTTTGACCTTCACAACGATGATGAGGACCAGGACTCTTGGCGCAGCTCGCTTGACCGTCGGTCAACGGACAGCAACCATTTCAGGCTAGAATCCTTCAAAGAGCACTGCAAGATGATCACTGAGCTGTACTTCAATTCATTTGTCACTGGTATGGCTCTTCTTGTGCAGTAGCTGTCAAGCATTGTCATGTCCTTTCGCAAACTAATTTTTTAACGCTCTGTTATGTCTGGAGTGCTATAGATGTTTTTCATTCTTTTTACTTGAGGTCGTACTGCTTTACTTTCCCTCTGTTGTTTCTGTCTGTCTTACTTTTTTCCAAAACTAAATGACCATTATTGTGGCGCTGTGCTTCTCTTTACTCTAACAAACAACAACAACGAATTTTCCCAGGTTCACCTCAGGAGTCATCTCTTTTGGGTGCTTCTCTAATCCTGTGTGTGTCTGTTACGTCTTCTTGCCCCCCCCCCCCCCCCCCTAGCGGGTGGTTGGTGGGTGATCTTGTGTGGTTTGCTCCTTCTTTCCTATCAAACATCTATCGTATTTATCTCCCCTCCTTTTTTGAGTTTGTTACTCTCTTGTAACACCTCTAATCTTCGGCACTTATATGACCTTATTGTGTTGCAAGTGCTGTAAAACTCTTACTAACCCCCCCCCCCCCCCCAAAAAAAAAAAACAACCCCACCCCACCACCCTTGCCACCCCCAGGAGTGTTCCTGAGCCTTCAGCAGAGCTACTTTGTGGACAGCCAGGACGTGGAGGCGGCCATCAACAACATCTGTGAGGAGCTACACCCCCTGGAGACTGACATGACCACCTACCTGCTAGCCTCCTGCTCGCACATGCAGACGCTGGTACAGCAGGCCAGGTGGCGGGAGAGAGGGGAGGCGAATCGAGGAGGGGGTGGAGGGGGAGGAGGAGGGCCCAGGTTAGGAGGGGTTGGGATGCTCAAGAACCCGTCTGTGCGTTTCCAGGACTTGGCAGATTATTTCCGGTGAGTGTGACTGTCGTCAAAGATAGTACATAACAAGGTGGTCCACTCAGCCAAAAAAGTGTCCGCCGGAAGTTCGCTCTTTGCTTCAGATGGCGCTGCAGTCTGTTTTGAAGCTCTCTTTCGTTTTTCCAGAAGAAGAATAGGAATAGCACCTCCTTGCGTGCGCAGATCGACTGCTGTTCATCAGCAGTTCGGGTTCGTTCAGTGTTGAGTTTTAGGGGTTTTTTTATTTTAATGACCTCTCGCAGTTCATTCTAAAGTCAAATTAAATGAAGAAAACAATAATCCTTTCCTCCGGAAGAAGTTTTTTGTCAGCATAACCATTTTAAAAAAGCGTTCTTCCAAAATTTATTTAAAAACTTGCTAGTTTCACTTTGATTTTTTAAACTCAAGTAGGGTAACTCTGTTCGCAAAGGGTTCACATTTGCGAAGAGGGCGCCACCGAATTTTGAGGACACTTTTTTAATTGGCTCTAAGAGAGAGTGACCCCTCTTGTTATGTAGACTCTTTTCTGTCGTTCTGTCTTGCTTTTTCCCACCCACTAAATGAGTTAGTTTGTTACTGTGCTTCTCTTTACTCAAACAGGTCTCAAGAGTTGACAGTTATTACTGTTACATGATGATCTTTGCTGTGAAAGCTCTCCATACATGTATCTCGGCTACTGATTTCACCCTTTGTTTTTTTCTTTTATTGCATTTTTGTCTGGGTTTTTTTCCTTTCTAATTTACTGTTTGTATGTGTGTGTGTGCACATGTGTGTGTGTGGATGTGCGTGCGAGCATGTGTGTGTCTGTGTGAGTGCACATGTGTGCAGATGATGTGGAAGCATGCACATGCAAGTGTCTTTGCAAAAAGGAGGGATGCATGCAAAAAAGGGATCTGAAGTACCGACCTAATAAGTGAGAAAGTCGGCTATTGATGGTAATACATCTTCTCCTGTCCCCCCACAGAGACGAGGAGAGCCCAAAGTTGCCTGACGTCTTACAACTGCCAAGCCACAGCGCGGAAGTGTGCGACAAGGACTGGTGTAACCTCAGCCCAGACACCTGCCAGCAGTCCAAGGAGGAGCAGGCCCTGGCCAAAGTGATTAGAGCTAAATTCCAGGCAGCCATCCTGAAATGTCTGAAGCCGGTGCCCACCATGGAAGACTTTTACTTTTACAACCCGTCATCGCTGCAAATCAAACCTACGGTACGCTTTTTTGGCAAACTCTAGAGATGGGAGCGCAACAGTCTTTCGTAAATAGGAGTCTCAGCATTAATTTTCATCAGCCAATATTACCTTTTTTTTTCATGTTGAAAGAAATATGCTGCAGTGGACCTTGAAGTCAATGCTAGCCTCCATCCTTCCAAATAGCGGAAATTAATTCAGTTTAGAGCCTTGTTGTTCACTTTGGATACTCCGAGCAGTTTATAGCTGTCAAAAGGTAGTTCATAACAAAATGTTAGACCATGCACCCAATGGAAAAGGAGATTTATGGCACAGGATGACATCATTTGCAAACTGGCGGAGTTTGGGGTATAAAATTTATCGTTTGGATGTCAAACCATGACATGTGTATGCAGATGTAGATTTACAGTCTTATTTTTTAAAAAAGAAAAAATAAGAAGTCTACAGAGATGATTCTCAATAGCTCTCATGTCACATGAAATATTCTGTATAAAGGAACAGAATCAGTCAGGTTTTTCTCTCTTTTTTTTGTGTGTATGTGCCATCCCTTATAGATAAACTTTCCTGGAGTTTGACACCTTCTGATCAACGCCATGGATGTTGGAAGTTCGTTATGTGTTTGTTACTTTCTTTTATTTCAGGATGAAGAACCAACTGATGAGAGCATGTCGGAGAGACCTGAAACGGATGATGGTAAGATGGGAATGGGATGAGGGGTAATCGGGTGGGGACCAGGGAATGCCAAGCGAAAGATGCACAACAGGTTCAGCCTGGATAGGATATTTACTTTTCATTGACTGTACACTTTATCATTTCCATGTCTTTTTCCTATTACTTATCTTAAAATTGTATTGGTAATGCTTTAGTTAACTGAATATATTTCATTTTGTAAACATTTTTTCCAGAGGTATCTTTCAATATTTATGACCTTTGAAATCCATGAAAATCCTCTTTTTCATCCCCCAAAATTACTGTAAAAATGACCCAGGCCAGCACACATACCATGTTTTGAACTAATGCCATGAAATGTGAGGAAATGGTCTGTCTTTGTGAGTCTTTGTGTTAGGACTATCATTAATAGAGTTCCACCGGGTTTGTTCTATTTCAGTGTACTTCTCAAACAAGAAAGCGTTGTTGGGTGAGATAATAGAATATGTCATTTGATACTGAAACGAAGAATGTTCTCACTTGAAATCCTGACTTCTCTGTTTACTGTGTTTTGCTTGTTGTTGAAAAGGGATGCTGGTAGGTTCTACTTTCGAGGCTGCCTCTTTTCTTTGCTTTTTTTTTTGTTTTTGTCTGTCTATTTGACTTTTTCCCTTGGACTAAACGACTGTTTTTGTATGAATGTGCTTCTTTTTACTCAAACTGAATGAGCATAATTGTTTTTTATGTGCTTCTCTTCACTCAAACTTACTCCGACTAAATGAAGTTATTTTTTGTGTTATGTCAATATGCTTCTGTTAATTCAAACTGCCTCTGTTTCGACAGTGTCACTAGCAGATGAGAAACCTGAGGCAGACGACAAGGCGGCCTCACATTCTGAACACTGTTGAAAGATTTTTATTCTGTTGATGTGCTTTTCTTTACTCAAACTAAATGACCATTTTTACCATTATTTTGTTGATGTGCTTTTGTGCATTTATATAGCACACACCCACAATGGACAGCATGCTTTATACGCTTTATAACTATAATTAACCCTGCAGACCCTGGCACACTCAGAAACATGCTCAGTTTCGTGGGAAGCATTCGGTGGAAGCTACGGATTACACACACTAAAACACTAACAAATTGACAAGATCTTTTGCTGTCTATAGGTGAGTACCCATACCCGCCTGGGTGAAATGTGGAAAATTCATATAAAGTGCCTTTTTTCAAGGACTCAACATCGAGCCCCAGGCGGGATTTGAACCTCCAACTTAACAATTGAGAGTCTGAGAGCCTAACTACAAGACCAGCAACACCAAATTTCCTGTAAACGATCATTATTGTGTCAGTGTGCTCTTGTTAAATCAGACTTTCACTATGTCAACAGTGTCGATGGCAGACGAGAACCCAGAGGCAGAGGACAACGCCGCTTCGCTTCCAGAGCACTGCATGGACTCAGTGGGCACATCTATGGAGTCGAACCACGACGAGTTGTCCCAGGGCTCGTTTGATGAGAACGCCTCTAACATCTCCACCGAGCGGGACCCGCTCCCTCTGTTTGTCCACTTTACATGCACCGTGAAGCAGAAGTCCAATTGTCAGCACATGTCTGTGCGCAGCATGCCTCTCTGTTTTGGTGAGTCCCCCCCCC